CTCCCAAGCTCATCCTTCTTTCTTTCTTTTTAAGAAAAGTCTCACAGAACTCCATGCTTAGAACCTTGTTTACAGCTCAAGGTTCTCTCTCTCTTTTCAGAACTGGAGATTGAAACTAATGCTTCATACTTATTAGTGAGTACCACTGAGCCACACCTCCAGTTTTGGAGTGGGTTTCAGGAAAGAGGGACTTCCTTCCTTCCTTCCTTTCTTCCTTCCTCCCTCCCTCCCTTCCTTCTTTCTTTCCTTCCTTCCTTCCCCAGGATTGAACCCAGAAGTACTTAACCAATGAGCCACATTCTCAACCCTTTTTATTTATTTATTTTTATTTTGAGACAGGGTCTTATTTAAATAGCTTAGGGCCTTGCTAAGTTGCTGAGACTGGCTTTGAACTTTTGATCCTCCTGCCTCAAACTCCTGAGTTGCTGGGATTACAGGCACGCACCACAGTACCCACTCAGAGGGAGAACTTTGAACCCTCTTACTTGTACTAGCAGCCTTCCTGGGTTTAAGATTTCTCAGCTTGCAAACTATGGATGATCCATAATATTTTTCCCAGGGTCTGCTGTTAGGATGGAAAAAGCTAATACACGTGGTATGCTTAGAACAGTGACTGCTCTTATCAGTGGGTTTTCTTTTGCCCTCCTGAGAAAGTGTGCATGTGTATGTGACTGTGACTATGTGTGCTGTGGGTGTTGGATGGCAGTGTGAAGACTAGACCAGCTGTGTGGGTCCTGCCTGAGTCTTCTATCCATTAAGTACTTTTGAGTCCAGGCAAGACTCACTAAGAGGCCCTTGGACTGACCAGGTCCAGCAAGCCGAGCTGGGAGGTTGCCTTTGTGGGGTTGCCTTATGGAGTTAAGGGATTGTTGGGGGCTGAGGCATCTTTCAAGGCCAGGGAGGACTGGGGCCTTCAAATAAGAATCAGGCCTGGTGGTGACACTCAGCCAGACCCTGGCCATCTGAATAAGGACCACTGGTCACCCACAACTGTGAGAGAAAAGGACTGTTATGTCCTTTAAAGGAACCTATGTAGATTAGAGGAGAAATGGGTGTTACTGTGTTTGTAATGAAAGCAAATTTCAGGACAGTAATGAAGGCAGAACTCATACCACCTGCAATGATGGTAAAGAAAGCTGTCCCTGCCTTTTGTGTGCTGGTGCTGGAAAACTGCTTTTGGATGAGAAGAGCTGCATTGGGTCCATGTAGTCATTGGCTTGAGGGAGGGGCAAGCATCAGCTTGGGGAGCCTGGCTGACTGGCTGTCAATTCTGCCCTGGGTCTTCCTGTTCCAGATGGCTAGGAGTGAGAGCCCTCAGGCAGACATCCATACATCAGGTCTAGGAAGCTGCCAGGATCCTGCCTTCAGGAGCCCAGGCAGACAGGTGTAGAGAGGCAGAAGCAGGGTAGGGCTGGCTGCCTTGGGTGACCTGAGGAGCAGCAGGTCTGGGAGAGCCAGAAAGCATCCAGCTTCCTGTCCCAGATACCCAGCCCACAGCTCTTCCAGGGGCAGGCGGAGAAGAGAAAGAGAGAGCTTGTCCAAACCACAGTTCCAGAAGCATCAGGTTCCGCCTATCTGTAAGAGAAATGGGTGGTGTTTTGCTACTGTACACTGCCACCAACTCCCTCTGCTGCCCATTGTAGGAGGGGTGGGAGGAGTGGTTCAACTATGCTCTCCCCTCCTGTGGAAGCCTGACCTTCTGGAATCCGAGATCCAGTGGACTTTGCTCTCTAAGGGGGTGTTCTCCCAGGGGTATTTCTTAGAGGGTACAACCAGTGGTGGTCGGTTCCCAAAGGGGCATTGGCAGCTGCCAGTAAAGAGGGAACTGATCACCAGAACCACTGCCTGTGGCTATCCCTGCTACAGAGACCCAGACCACAGGAACATTGAAAGCAATGGCCTCACCCACAGCCTGGAAGGCACCCTAGGACGGAGAGAAATATCCATGACAGCTGGGCAACACTTATTGTTTAAGATGAAGCTCCCTTTGTTCTGACATTTTATGGAAGAGAGAAACAAAAACATTTTTTTCCCCCTGATCAAATTTTTGCTGACACGAAGTGGACAAACCAGCTCCTGGCTCTTGTTCCAGGACTTCCCTCTTCTTCCTTTTGGCCAAGGTGTGTGCTTGTCCAGAGCCACCCTACTCCAGGCTGGGAAGGTGCTCAGGGCCACAAAGAATGGCACCCGAGAGGACCTCGGACCACTGAGTCAGCCCCTAAACCCTGCCACTGCTCTCCTGAGCCGGGTTTTCTTGGGAAGTGAAGCAATCTCAGCGGTTCAGCAAGTCTGGTGGCCCAAGCTGGGTTTCCAATTCCATTTAAAACGACCGACCCCGGCGCATCTTATCTCCAAGTCGCCTCCCTGGGGTTCCCACACACCCCCTGCCCAGCCTAGCCCCAGCGGAAGCAAGCCAGGGAACTTTTGAAGTCTAGAGAATTTCAATCTGAGAGGAGCCGGCTGGACTCGAGCCTGTCGCCCAGCGGGGGAAGGGATTGCAGGCCCCCGGGGCAGCGGGGGAAGTGAGATGGGGGAAGGGGAGTAGGCTGGACCCCACTTTGGCTGCAGTCGCCCGCTTTTTGGCTTCGGTGGGATTGCCGAATTGGTGGGCACTCCGAATTTACCTTCCTTCTTGGGCTGTTCAGTGGATAACCTTCATGATACAATAGTGAGGGTATTAAAGCACACCCCCATACACACAAGAAAATCCAAAAGAAGAGTTTTTACCAGTCCCTCCTTTTTTCATCTTCTCATTAAAATCCAACCTTTTTCTTTTCACCTGCTACTGATGAAAGGATGCTTTGCAAGTGACATTTGCTTGACTTTTTTTCTTCTTCATGAACCCGAGGCGTTCAGTACCTTCTAAGGACTGAAGAAATGGAGGCTGCTTTGAAAAGGTGGGCTGAAGTCTGGAAAGGTATGGGTGGGGGTCCAGATGGAGGGGAGATATTGCTGAAGCTATGGATCTGGAGCTTAAAGGAGGCAGGTCCTTTGTAGAGGTTGCACCTTTAGCCCTCTCCAGGGGATGCAAGGGGAAGCCTGCTCTACCCGCCCACCCAGGAAGGAGACTAAGTGGCATTCCTTGATCTCACATCCCATCTGCTTTCATCTTCAGGGAAAATCCAGAGGAAAAGAGGATCAAACACAGAACATTCCCATTGAATGCAAAGCTGGAGGCAGGGCAGCAGAGCCTGGAGTTCCTGAGGATCAGCTCCAAGGAGTGGGGGTAGTGAGGTGTCTATGAGAAAGTGGCATGATATGAAGAAGGAGATTGGATGCTACCCAGTCTCAAGCCTCACAGAGAGTGGGCAACCCAGGCAACGCTAAGACTCATGAATCTTGACTTTGACAGAGGAGAGAACAAGTCAGGGCTCCCTCAGGTTCTGGCTGCTGGTGGGAAAAGGCAGGGCATTACAGAATCCATGGATGACTCCCCATGGCAGCAAAAGGTTCTGGAATTTCAGTTTCCTACTCCCAGTTGCTCATCTTTGATCTCTGAAACATTTCCCCAGATTTCTGGGCTAGCAGTGCTCAGCAGATGGTGGCTTTGGGACTCCTAGGGAGTGGAGATATCTATGTGGACACTACTTCCAGATACATCTGCCCCTATCCCCGGGCAAGGTTAATGAATATCTTATTGAATTGGGAAAGAAGTGAAAAACAGGAGTAGGAAGAGATTTTTTTTGTCTGTCCTCAAACCCCTTGCTTCTTCCACCACTTCTATTACCCCAAGGATAAGAAGTTTGAGGGAGAGTAGAGAAAACAAAAAAGGAGAGAAAAGGAAGATAAAAAAGTAGTGGTAGAAACATTTCTTTAGAAGCTGGGGCTTTGTCAAGGGACATGGAAAAGGAGAGAGGGGCAGGGGCCACCCTTTCTGGCTGGGTTGGACTGGCTGTCCAAGAATAGAAGCTCCTGGGAGTGGGACAGAGAAAGAGGAGCTGAACCCAGAAGGTGCCCACCTCCTGTCCTCAGCAAAGTGGAGAGAAACCCAGTCCACCTGCCAGACCCCACATTTGCTAAGGGTCAGTTTGAAGGGATTTTATCCTGCCTTCCTGGGAGTCTGCGGCCTCCCCCAAACATCAAATTCCATAACCCCGCCCCCACTTCCCTCTGAAGGCAGTTGTTTTCTGTCCCCAAGTTGCTCTTTCAGAACATTTTCAGTGACTTTCCTCTCTTCAACCCCCAGCTTTTAAAGCCAGGGATGGTTTCCCCTGGAAAGGACCCTGTGAATCCAAACTCTGCTGACCCCAATGCAGCACACTGTACTATGTCAGTTCCTGCCTTAAATCCCCAAATGAAAGGGATCCTTCTCCCAGCTGGGAGCCTCCCGCCTAAGCAGGGCCGCATTAGCCAGAGCCTCTTCACTGGAAAAACCTGTTTCCAGGAGAATTCGTTGATTCTGAACGAATGCCTTAAAATACAGTCAAGAAAAGAAACACGACCACTCTTAGAATGTCTCCCACAACATACCTGCAGTGCCGGTGAGACCCCATCAAACGGAAGGCGATTTCTTCTCTGAACAGCCGCCTTGAGGTCAAGCCAGGCTGTGGAAAGCATAAGGTCATCTAGATGGGGAGGGAGAATTTGTTTAAAAAATCAAACACTTTGATTCAGAAGCTAATGCTGGTCTTTAAGGAAAAAAAATAAAATATTCATCTCTTGACCTTTGGGAAAGAAAAATAACAAAGTTTGATTCCCAAGAGGAAGGAGACAGAAGAGGGTGGGGGAAGAAGGGGGAGCAAAGAAGACCTCAGCTCAAGCACTCCAGACAACTTGGGACTTGGGGGGTGGGGAGATATGTTTTTCGGTAGCTTGTAAAAAGATTTCGGAGCCAGTTTGAGGTTAGCTGCCTGGATAAGCAGTTGTAATAATGCCGAGAGAATCGAGGTTTGTAAGCCGGCCTTCACACTTCCAAAATGCAGTTATGGATTCTTTCATCAGTGTTAGAGCAGGGCACCAAGTTAAGAAACCAAAAGTTAAAACAACAATAAAAGAAAAAATCAAAAGCGTATTCAAATATCGAGTCCCGCTGCCTCTGCGGAACTCGCCTGCTCGCCTTAAGCTCTTTTCTTTCTGCTGAATTCCATTTGCATCCCCTCTGCCTGGGTGTCTCCCTCTCAGTATGTGTGTCTCTCTGTCTGTTTTCACACTCTCCTCCCCATTCGAGCGAGGCCCACACCTGGCGCATCACTGCTGAGCCATTAGCTGCGGGTCTCCTTTCATCTTCCCTGTGGCAGACGTTTCTATTTATCCACTTGCGCTCGCAGAGTGGCGTCACCAGCGGTACTGTAATGACGATTGCAGCAGGAGGATGACAGCTTAGAAAGAAGAGGGCAATGGGGCTTCCTCCCAGAGGCTGTGCGGCACAGAGGAGCGCTCGCATCACAAGGTGACCCTAGCTCCCCACCGCCACCTCCGCGGTCGCCGTCGACATCACTCTCCGACCACTCTGCGCTCGTCCATTCGCCTGGCTTCTCGCTCCCTTTCGCAGTCAAGATCTATCCGGCTGCTAGGGTCCCTGGGAGCCGGGGGTTAGGAGCTCACTTGGGGCTTCCCCCTCCCCCCTCCGGAGAGCCCCAGGATGGAGAACCGAAAGGACATGGTTATGTTTCTGGATGGGGGTCAGCTTGGCACTCTGGTTGGCAAGAGGGTCTCCAATTTGTCCGAGGCCGTGGGCAGCCCGCTACCCGATCCATCCGAGAAGATGGTGCCCCATGGTTGCCTCAGCCCGCGAGCCGGCCCTCCGGTGGCCCGGGAGCGCGGTGGGGCAGGTCCTGAGGAGGAGCCGGTCGATGGACTAGCAGGCAGCGCGGCGGGGCTGGGCGCCGAGGCACGGGCAGCTGGGGCGGCCATGCTTGGCCCGGGACCCCCGGCCCCCTCGGCCGACAGCCTTTCTGGGCAGGGGCAACCAAGTAGCTCAGACACCGAGTCGGATTTCTATGAAGAAATCGAGGTGAGCTGCACCCCGGACTGCGCCACCGGGAACGCCGAGTACCAGCACAGCAAAGGTAGCCACCGCGCCCCTCCGCTCCCCGGGCCTCCCACTGTGCCCACCCTTCACTCCGGCTCAGATCAGAAGGAAGACACTCCTTTCCCCCAGGGCAGGATGGCTGGGGGGGACCCACCTGAGTAACTCTTCCTTGCTATCTGCGCCCTGGAGGGGGTCTCCTACTATGTTCTGGCATTGGTGGGACTGAGGGTGACAGCTGTGCCTTGGGAGGGGGAGGCGCAAGTCCTGGGCTTGGGGGATTCAAAGAGCACCCCCAACCCCCAGTATTTTGTGGGAATGCTTCAACTGACTGGGGAAGACACCTTCTCCCCGGGTAGAGCAAGATCAAACGCGAGTTTGTGGCTGGCGGGGTGTAAGGCGCATCCAGGCGCGGAAGCCAGGAGTCCATAAAGGACCGTAAAATAGCGTCGGACTCTGGCGGCCCGGGTGCTGCAGCCCTCCGACCAGTTTGCATGTCGGTCAGAGGTCCAAATTACCTTGTCACTTCCCGGGCTTGGCGGCGCCAGGTCGGAAATGGTCCCAATGGTCTAATTGCCTTTGGTCTCCGGTTGCATTTGAAAAGGCAGGGATAGGGCCCTCCCCCCTTCGCCTTCCCTTCCTACTCCCACTTCTCCACCTAAAGGAAAAGAAGCTGCAGGGGGCTGCAGCCCCACCCTTCTCAGGGGGTAGGCCCAAAGAGGGGGATGCTTTAACTGGAGAACCCCTCCCCACTAAAGGCTAATGGGTGTGGGGCAGATGACCCTGAAGGGAATCTCCCTCTGTGCTAACAATTCCTGGGCCTGAGATGGGTAGAAAACTGAGAGGGAGAGCCCATCAGCAGACACTTCTCCACAAAGCTGTGGGAATAGTAGGAAGATAGATACTACTTCTTAGCCCTGGCAGACAACTATCTTGAGTAACTACCCCCACCTCATCCCCTCTTATCATTTAATCAACCCAGACTCCATACTATAATATACCCTCAAAACAACCTGTGTTCCAGTCAAACATAGCACATCTGTAATATGTGCAGCCTGGTACACATTTCCACACCTATTCTGGCATCCTGGCACACAAGAGCAAGGAAACTGCATGCCCAGCATCCTACAATGCACCAAGTCCCAGAGTTCACAACATTCCAGCACAGAGGTGCATCTCAACTCATTTGCCTGCCAGATGTGCACACCTTTGCCCACTCCTGCCAATGGGAATATACCTTGCCTGTGCCCAGGGGGCAGATGGTGAGGGTGGCTGGGAGCCTCTGTACCTAGCATGCCTCAGACCCAGGCTTTCCAAACAGTAGCCAGACCAGGCCTTCCCAAAGCTCTCCATGTTCTCTATCCCAATGGCAAGCCCCTGTCCTCCCTCCTGGAGTGTCCCCACCCCATCCCACCGGGGGCAGTGACTGAGGTGGCCTGGGGTGGGGGTGTCTGTTTTCAACTTTCCTCTTTACATTCCCACCTCAGCAGCGTTTGTGTGTCTGTTGTGTCTCTGTGTATACACGTGTGTACTCTGGGATCCCTGCGCAGGGCCCAGCTCCGAGGCACTGGCCGGCAGTCCGAACAGCGGCAGCGAGGCCCCCAAGAGCAACGGTCCCGGCGGCGGCGGCGGGGGTGGGGGCGGCTCGCCAGGCACCCTGGCCTGCAGCGCCAGTGACCAGATGCGCCGTTACCGCACCGCCTTCACCCGAGAGCAGATTGCGCGGCTGGAGAAAGAATTCTACCGGGAGAACTACGTATCGAGGCCGAGGAGATGCGAGCTGGCAGCCGCCTTAAACCTGCCAGAAACCACTATCAAGGTATGCGCGATCAGGACGCGCGAGGCGGGTGTGCACCCATTTAGCGGGAAGGAAATACCCATTGCCCACTCCCTAAGTCGCATGCCTGAAATCTGGACCTGGGATCTCCCAGGCTAGTGAGCGCAGATTTATCCTGACAGCCCCTTTGTAGACACCGCTGCCAGGAGGTTGATTCCGTGCTTTTCCTAGCCAAATAGATCACAGAGATAGGATAACTGTGCGAGTGGCAAGGAAGTGCCCCAAACGAAAGGGATGAAAATGGATGCGTTTCTGTCGCCTCAGGGGGATGGAGTTCTAGTCCCCTCCCTACTTGGACACCCACGCCAATTCTGACACTTTGGGGGTCCTGACCACGTGGACAGAGGGAAGGAGGGACAGGGACTGGAGTCACTCCCTGACCTTACTAAGAAATGACTCTAACTTCAGGTGGTGGTGATGGGCCCGGCCTGGCCCAGCTGGTTTGTTTTCTCTCTTCTTTGAGCTGTGGACTTAGTCCCCCAGAGTGGGACAGGATTTCTGGGCTGATGGCCCTGGGCCTAGTCCAGCCGCCGAACCTGCTCCGTTCCTCTCCGCAGGTGTGGTTCCAGAATCGGCGCATGAAGGACAAGCGGCAGCGGCTGGCCATGACGTGGCCTCACCCAGCTGACCCCGCCTTCTATACGTACATGATGAGCCACGCTGCGGCCGCGGGCGGTCTGCCCTACCCCTTCCCATCGCACCTGCCCCTGCCGTACTACTCGCCCGTGGGTCTAGGCGCCGCATCCGCTGCCTCCGCCGCCGCCTCTCCCTTCAGCGGCCCCCTGCGCCCGCTTGACACGTTCCGCGTGCTCTCGCAGCCCTACCCGCGGCCCGAACTGCTGTGCGCCTTCCGCCATCCGCCTCTGTACCCGGGCCCAGCGCACGGACTGGGCGCCACGGCCGGCGGCCCCTGCTCCTGCCTTGCCTGCCACAGCGGCCCGGCCAACGGGCTCGCTCCCAGGGCTGCCGCTGCTTCGGACTTCACTTGTGCCTCCACCTCCCGCTCGGACTCCTTCCTCACCTTCGCTCCCTCGGTGCTGAGCAAGGCTTCCTCTGTCGCTTTGGACCAGAGGGAGGAGGTGCCCCTCACCAGATAAGGGGTCGCCCGCGGGCTGCCAGCTCCAGGACGCCCGTGGGGGCCCCCTCCCGGGGACTCAGCCAGTGCCTCTCCTGTCCCCAAGAAACTGAGGGGAAAGGAGAGGGCCGCGAACGACAAGCGGGACTCGGCCTCTAGGATGGGGACGCCCAGGAAGCGGCAGTGGCTGGCGTGTTTGAGGAGCAGAGGGGGGACGGGAAAGGAGAGATTAGGAGAGCTTCCTTTAGGGTGGCCTCTCTTTGCTGTTTTTCACCGCTACCACCACCTTTGACCGAGGTTGAAGCCATGGCTCAACAGCTAAACAAAACTTAGCAGCAACAGCGTATCCGGACCCTTTGCATCGCCCCCATATCGCACTCCTTCCTCACCTGAGCCCTCTCTCTTCTGCCAAGGCTAAGCACTGGAAGGGGAAATTGCTGTCTCTTTGAACAAAATGCTGTGTATGCAGAGCAGGTAGAGATTAATCTTCACCAGCTTTCCCAAGGCATAGCAAGGGGTTTGAGGATGGCAACACACCAGTCTTTTAGGGGAGAGAGAGTGAGAGATGATTTACTGCCAGGGAGAACCATGCCCTTGGCACGGAATCTGGAGGTTTCACACCCTCCTGGAGTCTCAGTTACACAGCATTTTCTGGTTCCTACCAGCACCTGATCTCTCCTCATTCCCCTGCTTTCTGACACATCTCAACTTGAAACTCTAGCCCAGCGCCGCCCCCCTCCCCGTTTTTGTTTGACGTTGGCAGGGAAGCTGCAGATGCCCCAGGGCCCCTGGGCAGCTTCTATGAGGCCAAGCCTCTTCTCCCAGAACCCCCACACACTGATTAGCAAGTGATGTGTGCAAGGAGGGTTTTTGAATGTTGAATGTATGTATAATAATGATCACCATGGGCTGGCTACCAAGCCCAGAGCTGAGCTGTTAACAAGGCACCCAGGGAAGAGCTTAGGGAGTGGGGACTTCACCTTCCTCAGTTTCTGATGGCAAATTAGAAGTTATTTTCATCCATTACCTGTTCACCTTCATGTAACCAGGAGCTTTCTGGCCAATCCCTTTGCATTTGGCATTTTACATCCTCTCATTTTCTCCAAAGTTGCCATAGGGGCTTGACTTTCAGATAACAACTGGGAGCCTTCTGCCCCTAAAAGGTGTTCCTGTCTCTACCCTTCACCAGGGTTTATTTGGGATCCATTCCAGAACCCTCACTCTCACACTCATTCTTGCAGCGAGTTTTTGAGGTAGAGAAGAACTTTTACTTTCCAATGCAAGCTTCACCCCCCACTGGGAGGAAGTGGTTCTCCCTATAGGGAATGAAATTGGTTTGGTTTGGGATTTTCCTTTAAAGCCCAAAGACTTTGTTGTTATGATTTGTTAACCATATTGCAATAAAAGCTGGACATGATTCTCACTTAGTATGCAACTTTTTTTTCCTTTTTTCTTTTTTTGTAGCATGTAGCACACTGACTCTTTTTGAATTGCTAGTTCAGTCACTATGGGCTTGGGTAGGGAAGGAGAAGGGTTCACAAATAAGTCTTCTAAGCTTCTGTGGGGCATTGGTGACTCCAAACAGAAACTGTTTGCAGAGGGGTAAGGCAAGTTTCTAGCAGCCCTGGGGTGCATGTTTACTTGATTCCAAGAATGCTGGGGGCCCTCCATGGGCAGGCTGATCCCCAAAGTGCTGAGCACACCTGGGGCTTACTTCTAATGGATGGGTCCTTCTCCACTTGCTCCAATTCTTTGAGGAATGAGGGCCCCATGCTGCAGTCTCCCTGTGAACTGCTTCCACCCAACACAAGGTGAGGCAAGTGGGGCAATGGCAGTGCATGTGAGTACTGCAGAGAGCTTCATTTGCTGGAAGGCAGGGTCTGCCTCTGAAGGTAGGGACAAGGCTACAGGAGGGATGGGGTGGTCTTGATGTCTGAATCATCCTCAGACTATAAGTCATCTGGATGATGCAATTATGGAACAATTGGGGGACAGGCAGGGCTTACCAGCCCTCCACTCCCACCAGAGTCAAGCTGGCTACACTTGGAGTCTCACTCAAGCAGGGGAGAGAGGGTGCCTACAGGAAACCTAGAGAGCATGGACGCAGAGGGTTATCTCTGTCATGACTTTGGTGGCAGATGGGGGCTCCTCAACCTTCCTCCTCGATCCTGGGGCTCCAGAGTCAGTCCTGCATACAGTGGCTCTGGCCCTCCCCAGTGAAGCCTTGAGCAGAGGTTTCCAGCATCTGCACCCCCAACCGCGCCCCACCCCGCGCAGCTCCCTTGGCAGCCGGAAGCTCCCAAGTGCCAAATCCTTGCAAATTTCGCAGTTACTCCGCGTTGGGCAGAGATTGCTTGCGACAGGTAAATGGGCTGCGGGTTGCCTTAATGCCAGGCGTATTTTCAGTTAATAGGGAGGGAAAATGAGGTGTCTGCAGCGATATTGGAAAGTACAAGATCGATGATCCGGCCTCGTGTCCAATCAGCAGCCTTTAATTGACTGTATTTTCTGGGTAATTGAGCCTCTCTTCCTCCAAATTGAAGTGGAAGATATAACAATACATCTTGCCAGGAGGAATTACTCATTACTTCATAATGAAATTTCCCTTTTGCCAAGGTTTGCGGTTTGGCGTTAGGCACTACTTCTTACACTTGTTTACCTCCTCCCCCGCCCCATCTTACTTAGCCCACCCGCACCAGGCATCTCCATCTGGCCTGACACGCCCATCTTGGCGGGGAGAGTGAGAGATAACCCTGAAGAAGGAACCGCCCCATCCACAGCCACAATCTCTCTTTGTAAAATGAGAAGGCTGAGACCAGGCAACAGGGTCTGTGACTGAGTATTGTTTTTGCTTTTCCACCTTCAGGAGTGTGTCCTCTTAGCTGTGCCTCACCTGGATCCCATCTTTCAGATGTAAAAACAGAGTTTCCAGTTCTTGCACAGCTTAATAGTGACAATGCACTATGTGCTTCGAGTTCCTGCTTCCTCGTTGCTCACCCGTTTAGGGTCTCAGTGTCTGAGATCATCATCAGCTAACTCTGACACTTCATTCTCCACCCACATTTTCCCACAACTCCTCAATCCTCGCCAGGCCGGTGTGGCTTGGGAATGCCATCCAATGCCCAGCCGGGGTTAACCTAGGCCGGCAAGACTAGCAGCACGGCAGCCCGAGTTTGCGCAGGGCTGGGGCCGTCGCCCGCTTGTTAGCCTGTGATTGATTGCCTTATTAAAGCGTGTTCTTGTAAGTGTGACCAAACTGATTGCATTGCATATGTTTGGGATAATGCTCATTTTAAACAACAGGATAAAGCGGATGAGCTCGGCAGAGCCCTCAAGACGAAATGATTCCAGCAGGCAGCTCCCTAACTCTGGCATTAAATTGCCCAGTTACATAGCAAATCACTTGGTTCTTCCATCCTTATCCCATTTTTTTTTTCTTAGCCTGCAGTTTGATCTCATGGTATGTCCCACGAATGGTTTTTCTAGTGACTATGTTGACTTCACCTAAAGGCTGCAGTCCTGCACCCAAAAACCTCAGGCATGAAGTCCACTTCCTTATTTGAAGCAAAGAGAGAAGAGATTCAGGATGCACATGCTCACCTGAGCCCTTCAAAAGGGACACAGCCATTGACAGCCATCCCAAATGGGAGCTTACAGTGGTTCCTCCCCACCCCCAATGCTTTCATGAAAGTTTAAAAGATTCTTTTGTTCCCTAGGTTTTTCCCGCTTGATTGCTTCCATTATTCCCCAAACGGGGAAACACCCGTCGCCATATGTCCACCGGAGACCATGGGTGTCATAGAGGACAGTTGCTGAAGATGTCTGGTTGGATAGCATTCTCCAAGTGAGAAGAGCTTTGCTTTCTTAGTATCCTCTCCATGCACCATCACCCCTGAGTGGTAAAGGGAGAAGTTGGAGTCTCTCTCTCTCTCTCTCTCTCTCTCTCTCTCTCTCCCCCTGTGTGTGTGTGTGTGTGTGTGTGTGTGTGTAAAGGACGTCAAGACAAAAATTTTCTTTTAATTATCCCCTCCATTCTCCCATCTCCCAAACCATTCTTTTAGGAGGAGTTCTCTTTCTGTGCAGTTCCCTAACAAAGAAATCCTCAGCCCATCCCCACCACTCCTGTCAACTTGCAGGTGAGCCAAACTGCTCAAAGATTGAACTTTCTAAGGGATGCCTTTGGGATATGCTGGAATCCTGATTTGTTCAAGATGATGACAGTCATCAGGACAAATCAGAAACGGTGCCACTCTTCAGGGTGTCATTTGTAAGTGCAATTGCATAGATTCGTTTGCAGAACCCAGCTAAAACAGGCCTGGATAAGTGACTAGATGCATTGACAAATTTCTTCCATCAGTCACTCAGCTCCTCCCCTACTCCGCAGGGTCAGGCATATTAGACTGCAATGGGGTAAAACGAAGGTCCAGCTCACCATTTGTGCCAGCTTATAGGACTCTAGAAATGTTGATCCTAAGAAAAAAACAAAACAAAACCCAGCCGCAAAATGAACCCTACCATCTACAAAACAAACAAAAACACAAAGTCGTTTCCAAAATGGTCTTCTCAGCAAATAAGTATGCAATATTCTGAGCAGGAGCAGGAGAAAGATTGCCACTTAAAAATAACATGAAAGCATTAAGTAATTATTTAAAACAAGGCTGTTTAGAAAAATATTTGTATTTATTGCAGCTGCTCAATTGGCCTCGTTAAAGTCGGCAAGCATTTAAATTGTGTTACAATCTCATTTAAATCCCGCTCCGTTCCAGCAGGCTGAAGAGCTTGAATAGACCAATCACTTCATAATGATGATGAATGAGAAATTAATTCAGATACAAGCAAGACAATTTAGGCCTTCATCTGTTTAAATAGCCTTCCAATATTATTCGCGATCGCGGGTCACAGATTGAATCAATTGTCCAATCTTGTGAAAGTCATATCCTTGCATCTTCATCGAGATTATTTATAGCGCAGTGAGGGCTGCTGAAAGGTATAGGCTGTTAACAGGGACAATTACTTAAAGGGTAGCGTTTATAAAATGGAAAACAAATGCCAGGGTTGGTAACAAATGGGATCAAAAGCAGCCATTCCAATCTGGCTACTCTGGGAAGCCAGCAGGTTCAGGAGGAGAGGGACGCTTGCTGTCGACTTGTGACCTCTCTAAGGCCCAGGTGAGGCCAAGTCTGGCTGGGCGCGTGCGCCAAGGCTTCCGTGGTAACCCTGGGATAGTCTGCACTCAGCTTGTTTCAGGTTCTGGATTCCCTCCCGCTGGCGGTAACCCTATGTGACCCGGGATGGGCATCTTGAAAACAGTGCCCAGGGGACAACTGACGCTAGGGAGTCCCAGTGTGTGCCCGGGTCCCAGTGCCTCTTTGTGCGGAACTCAGGATTCCAGCCTGTGTTTGATCACCACTGTCAGGTGGCGACAGGATGCTAGGGGCCCTGTTGATGGAGGTGGGGAAGCCTCGTTGTGCGTACAGGGCGGGGGCTGCTGATGGATCTGGACTCTGTAGGATCACCCTCCTCTTAAACTTGGTGTCCTTCTAATCTAATGGCGAAGAGGGGCTCCATTTCCACAGGCCCCCTCACTCTTGCGTCCCAGGACCAGGTAGCGCGCTGGGAGTTGCTTCCCTTCCTTCGGGGTTCAAGCCCCTTCCCTTCCTTTGTACCCTCGGGCTGTGAGCCGCGTCTAGTTCTCTCAAAGAAGAGCCTTGCAGCGGGGTGCCCCGCCCTTGTCTTGAAATAATTCCTCCCTGGTGAGGCTAGTCTCCTTTCCTAGGTCGCCTTCTTCTGGCAGGCATCCAGGAGCCTCTCGCGGACCCAATGCAGTCGAGATGGCCTGCGACAGGTGCCTGTCTGCGGCGTCTACTTCTCCTTCCTCAGCCCGTTTAGGGAAAGACTATAACGGTGCGCGCGGGGAGAGGGGGTTGTTTCTCCCTAATCGGTACCGGGGAGCTTGGGTATGACTGTTCGCCTCTTCTACATAGGCTCTGGGAGCTTTTCTAGGCGGCGCTCTTTGGGGAGAGTAAGTGAGGTGGCCTCGGAGCAGAAAGGTAGGAAAGATCATTTGACGTGCTGAGCATGGAAGAAGAGAGGAGTGAGAGCAGGGGCTTCCAGCCAACACAGAGGTACAGGAGTCGTCCGCGCGGTACAACACGCGCGATGCTCCCGTCTTCGTGGAGGTGTTTTTTCCCCTTCCTTCCTCCGTGTTTCTGTATTTATTTGAAACAAAAGCCCAGCTAAAGGATTCCTGGTGCTCTGAGGACCTACTCCCGGGAGCGACTTTGATGTATTGCTGTCCAATTAGTGCCTTTAATTGGTGTCCTCAGGGACAGGCAGGCCCGGAGCTGGGACACAGCCTCCCCTCGCCTTTCCTGCACACTGGAAAGGTAAAATTTATAACGTATTGTAGCAACCCCT